CAGCTGACACGATCTGTCTTACCAAAGCGCCATGTAAATGAAAACTCAACACCGCAGAATTTTTCTGAAGTTGTAGCCCGTAGCGCAAAAATCTGCGGAATTTAGATTTTTCCGTGTCAGCTGATTTCTCCTTCTTTAGATGGTTGCCACTTCGTCAGTTTTGCAGATGGTAAAAAAGTTATAAGTTCCTATTCAAAATATGTTTAAAATATTTGAAATTTACTATTAAATAAGGTTTTTGTTGAAAACTAAGGGCCGGTTACTCAATGTCTGGTTAACACTAATCTCCGTTTAAACATCATTATCGACGTGTTCGGCTCCATGCATATAACATGGAGTCGGTAACGTCGATAACGATGTTTTACCGGAGATTAGTGTTAACCAGACATTGAGTAACCGGCCCTAAGTAGTTTATATTTAGCTGCAATCTATTATAGCACGAAAAATTGTGGTTGAAAGGGTAAGGGCCGCTTGTTCAATGTCTGATTAGCAAAAATCGGAGGTAGAAGCTCCGGTTAGATACAACGACTGCTTTATCGATCACATGTTATATGCATGATGTCTAAATCGTCGATAATGATGTTTAACCGGCAAGTAGTGATAACCAGACATTGAACAACCGGCCCTAAGTTTATGAAAAGGCATTGAAGAGTGGCAAAAGTGTAGTGAGCAACACTGAGGGCTCCAGTAATCGACAAAATTCTGCGTATACAGACTGCGTTTAAGTATACGTTCTGCGTTATCGACTAATTTCAGCTTGAGTAACCGGCCCTTAGCGATTAGTTTTTTATGGGCTTGGGGAAAAAGATGACGACTTCTCCGGTTGTGTGATAGTGCATCCCTTTCTTGCACACACATGGGCGCATTTGCCTTAGAGTATGCTCACTCGCTCATACATATCATCTAGTTGGTGATGTACAAGTGAGTTTAGCGATGAAACTATTGGGAAAATATCACGGTGATTAGTGATTTTTCTGACCACTATTCCACGATGCAGCGAACAAAAGTGGCGCCGACAGATATACCGCTACATTGGTTCACATTTTCCTAATTATTTCTTATTGTAAATTACACATATTGACAATTTGGCACAATCCAACTCGGCTTTGTTTACTTGTGGTACACAAATGTCATCGCCGCCAGGACGGCGCAATTTTGTAATATATTATTTTTCCCACTATTCCAACTTCTAAATAATTGAAATATCTAAAAATACAGGAAAACAAATAAAAAAATACAATTCAGTCAGATTTAGTCAGAAGAATTTTCGCTGGCAAAATCTTGAAAAGTGTCAAACCAAAGAAAGTAGATACTGTGGTTATGCCGATTTTAACAATTCTCAATGACAATTCTCAAGCAAGAGTAAGTAACTCTCAGAAAGTGTGAATGAAAAGAAAATGAAGAAAAAGTGTTTTGGTTTTGTTTTTTAGCAGCAAAACTGCAATTAAAAGATGTAAGAAATGTCAACGAAAATACTAACAACCGGTGTGAACAGCCTTCAGCCCACAATCCCAAAACTCGTTTTCAAAGTGTTACCGTTGTCGGTCAGAACATGGTATAATAGAGAGCGAAAATTGGAACGTATTGGTTCGTGTCTACCCGGACTTTTTCTCCGGATAAAAATGGATAAAGCGACAAAGTGCATATCAGCTGTTTTGTGTTTACATGTTAGGTTCTTTCCCTAAAAATCCGGACCGGATCCGGTAATTAGAGAATAAGCGAAAAGTTTGCTCTCAAAAATGGAACATAATCCAGAAGTACGGGAACGCAAGAACCACATTTCGTGCCCAGAGTTTGAGCAACAGTTGATTCGCGTTGTTTTTGTTTTTGTCACTTAAATGCAAACTCTTTGAAATTGAATTTTTGTTTCACAAATTTGATTTTAAAAATATAAAGATTGAAAATACATTCACTATTCCTTAAAATCACCAAGTAAATGAAGGCAACATGTAAACACAAAACAGCTGATATGCACTTTGACGCTTTATCCATTTTTACCCGGTGAAAAAGTCTGGGCTATTTCGGGCAGGAAGAAGAACGTTCCAATTTTCACTCTCTATTACCAATTTTGTAGAATACGGGAATGATTTCTGGGCTATTTTGGGCACCCGCGGGATCCCGCGTTGCGTACGGGAAAGAACCTGTTGCCTGCATTTACTTGGTGCTTTTAAGGAATAGTAAATGTGTTTTCAATCTTCGTATTCTTAAAATCAAATTTGGGAAAAAAAAATCAATTTCCAAGAGTTTGCATTTAAGTGACAAAAACAAAAACAACGCGAATCACCTGTTTCTCAAATTCTGGGCACGAAATGAGGTTTTTTGCGTTCGCGTACTTTTGGAATATGTTCCATTTTAGGGAGCAAACTTTTCGCTTATTCTCTAATTACCGGATCCGGTCCGGATTGTTAGAAAAGAACCTATTGCCAATGTAAACGCGCCGTTAAAACCAATTACAAATGCAACGGCCCGTTCCTGCTTGATCTAGTGTTTTTGGTTCATGCGACGTGCAATTAATTTCATATCTGCTGTCCGGGTATCTCCAACATCGATAAATTTTTGCGTATCTATGATAGAAACTTCGTTCATTTTTTCACTCATCGGGCAAGGTATACAATTTCTAGTAAAAGGTTGTCATTATATCGCATTCTATCAGCGCAATTACTTACAGTTTCCACCATTTGAAATTCTCGCAATAAAAGCACGAAGACTAATGTTGCCGAAACCAGCGCTAAGTCTTCAATCATAAATGCGACCTTCCATACTTTTATTCGGAGCAAAGTAAGACGACGAAAAATACAAAGTTTTTGNCGAAACCAGCGCTAAGTCTTCAATCATAAATGCGACCTTCCATACTTTTACTCGGAGCAAAGTAAGACGACGAAAAATACAAAGTTTTTTAAGCTAGTATCATAGTTACCTTTCGTAATTAAATTTGTTAAATAAACGTTATAGTTGCTATTGAAACAAAATCGCTTATCTTCTTTGCCATTAATAACTAATTTTTTTTGATGCAGCTCCGATGTTTCTTGCTTCCACCTGTCACTTTTACGTTTTGATAGCTTCTATCATAGCAACATTCCCCATTCTGATAGTTTTTGTGTCTAAGACTATTTCGACAATTTGATCATCTTTAGCATTTCGTCGAAAATTGGTCAAAGAAAGTGGCATACAAATAAAAATTGCATTTTGTTTTTCTAAGTTGGTATTCACAATCTATTGTTGGAAATTCCAGTAACATCATCTGTGGAACGTGTAGACGCTGTATAAAACAATGAGATTAAGAATTTATACAAGCAAAAGTCCGGCAATACTATTAAACTCCTCAAAGGGAAATTTGAGTTTAAGTGAACATAACCTCAGTGATTTGGCGCATTCTGACGACAAACAGTTAAGATTTTCAAGTCTGTAGAATTTTAATATATATTTTTTTTAAGAAAACCCAGTGTAAAGCTAAGAATGGACCGTTTTCGTAGTTTATATAAAGAAAATTCCCATACATTGAGTCCGGTCCAGCATAATCTTAAAAATCGCAATATTCAAAATGCAAATCGCGCCAAAAAACGAAGGGAAGTCTTTGAAAGCGGTCGTAATCTCGATGTCAGCCCAACTCCTACAAAACCACACAATTTTGAGGAGCAAAATTTAGCGGAAGTGCTTGTAGATAAAGAAAATAAAGGCGATGCTTTAGAAAATGTGGCCGAATGCAATAAATCCAGAATTGCATTAGTGGCATCGGGCAAGACGAGCTCTAAAAAGTCAACACGACAAGAATCATATCTATTGAAATTCATCGAATGGAGGGAGGCTCATAAACAAAAAGAGAAGAAAAGAAATGAAATTAAAAGGCGACCATTTATCTCCAGCGGTGGGGCATGTGGTAGTGCATTCGAGAGTAGTGCAAGATTTTCAACAGTAACTAACAAAGGCAAAAGCAAAGAAGTTGCGACATTTGTGCCGAAAGGCCATCAACGCTTTAAGCCGCCAGCTGGAATAACTAATCCCCTATCTGAAATGGTGAGTTATTAAATCTTTAATTGTATATATATATCACAAGAAATTATTTTACAGACTTCCGCGGCGAAAGACCTACTAGCTCATGATAGAAAATCGTTTTACACCGTGGTACCAACACCGCCAAGGTCAAAAGAGGATAATGCAATAGGGGTCGAGACAAAAAAACTATCGACCCTTAGTAAAACCCCGGCCATCTCTAATTTAGCACGTTGCAAGTCGGCAATAACGCCAGCAACCACTTCGTTGAAATCGACCAAAAACCCTACAGGCACAAAGCCAGCTGGTACAAAAGCTATTAAGGCAACATCGGTTTTAAGTACAGAAAGTAAACCGACGGCGGTAGTTCCGCCTACTAAAAAACACTTAACTGCAACCACCGGAGCATCACAAAAAATACCATCAAATTTAGATACAAAGTCAAGCTCAAATGAACCTGTCAAACCTGAAAAAAAGACTCTTTGTTCGACCAACAAAACAGCAACATCTGTAGCTAATGTGGCGTCAAACATATCAAATTTTAATACTAAGTCAAAATCAAATGAACCTCCAAAAAAGACACCTTGCAACTTAAATAAAAATCGCGAAAGCCCAAAAAAAAAAGTTCCGTTGTTCGTGCGACCTCAGCCGCCGAAAATGACAACAACAGCAACGCGAAAACCGATATCACAATCCAGAGGCATTGCAACAATAAATACCGTAAACAAGCCGAAGCAAGCAGCAACGGGTGCAAGTGCAGGAGCCGTAGGAAAGGCACATATGCTGCAAAGTAAGCGTGCTGCAGCTAATGCGAGCGAGCGTAATAAAAAATTTGCAACTACTTTTAAATATAAAAAGACTCAGGTTCCTACGTTAAACCGACCCAATGCGCCCAGCAATATTACCATAAAAGGAAAGACATTACTTGGCGGTGTCCGCACTTGTACTGCTGACGTGGCATTTGCGATTGCTGAAACACCAACGGATTTATTAAATATTAACACATTTGAGCCATTTTTAACGTCCACGCGGGTCAAATCCCTTTCACCTCACAGTGCCAATGCACCTAATATAAGTCCCGTTAATTCCGAAGCGGTCAATGATAAAAAAGTTGCGGGGTCTCACCAAAATATGCGAACACATAGCTCAACATCAGCGAAGCGCGCGCTTTTAACAAGTGATACTAAACAAAATCCACCAATTAAAATTCAAAGGCAAAAGAGTAAGTTTAACTTTGTACGTTACTCGATTGGGTCGTCTGAATCGGATATGAGCCCAGAGCCTGAGCAAAATGGCTTTGATGCACCTAATATAAGTCCCGTTAATTCCGAAGCGGTCAATGATAAAAAAGTTGCGGGGTCTCACCAAAATATGCGAACACATAGCTCAACATCAGCGAAGCGCGCGCTTTTAACAAGTGATACTAAACAAAATCCACCAATTAAAATTCAAAGGCAAAAGAGTAAGTTTAACTTTGTACGTTACTCGATTGGGTCGTCTGAATCGGATATGAGCCCAGAGCCTGAGCAAAATGGCTTTGATGCACCTAATATAAGTCCCGTTAATTCCGAAGCGGTCAATGATAAAAAAGTTGCGGGGTCTCACCAAAATATGCGAACACATAGCTCAACATCAGCGAAGCGCGCGCTTTTAACAAGCGATACTAAACAAAATCCACCAATTAAAATTCAAAGGCAAAAGAGTAAGTTTAACTTTGTACGTTACTCGATTGGGTTGTCTGAATTGGATGTGAGCCGAGAGCCTGAGCAAAATGGCTTTGATATGAATAATTCTAAAAGTGCATCGGAGGTTGGAAAATCTGTTAACGGAACTGAACAAATAACTGTATTAGAAGTCCAACCGAAAAACACGAATGCTACACAGTGTAATGCTGAAGGTAGGTTACTAAAAAATTCTGCCACTTCCGTATTTCTATTTTCATCTACTTATCTGTACAAAAAAATTTCTTTATTTTTATTATGCATAGGATAGCATGATTGAATCATGGGTACATAGTACATAAATACATACATATATATATAACTATATTATTTTCTTATAGGCAATAATATGTCACCCGAAAATAAAATTAAAAACAACTTAGATCAATTAAAAACTCCTCCTTCGACTGAAAATGAACGTCCGGTCAATTACATTGGTTCGTTTGTGTCAGTTTCACGAGGCAAAGTGAGCGCACGTAAAGAGCGGGAAAAACGGGATAGCATTTACCTTCCCGGCGCAAATGATAGTCTAACAATCACAGCAGCAGGAACACCCGTTAAAAAGGCAAAAACCCCATGCAAAAGTGCAGTTACTACGCCTGTCAATATTGAGGCTCGCCGAATTCTTGAGGCAGTGCGTTATTTCCGACAGCAACTTAGCAACGAAATCGATCGCTTGCATGTATTATGCGACCAGTGGGAAGAGTACAAACAACAAAATTTGCCCCTACTTCAAAAATCCGCCGGGGAAGATATGATCAACGTGACCATAGGTCAAACAAAACTGCTAACGAGTAAAAAGTTTCAACAGTTTAAGGGTCTAATAGATCGTTGCGAAAATGGAGCTAGAGGTACGGCAGCCGTCTACGACGGTAGTGAGGATACGAAGCCAATTACAGACGTTGATTTAGAAGGCTTTTGGTCCATGCTTAATCTACAGGTTAGTTTATCAAGCACTCTGAAGTTTTTTGATGCAATCTTAGTTTATATTCGTATTATATAACTTATTAGGTGGATAATGTTGAGAAAAGATTTGAAAATTTAACGCGCTGGAAAGCCAATAATTGGTCGGATCCCGATGAGATTCAGGAAACGAAACAACTCAAGCTAAAATGCAAACCAAATCTAACTAAAGTTAAAAAGGCAAAACCACCTGCAAAAACGGCAAAACCAAGCAGTGGTTTGCAAGCAATGTTGCGAAAAATGCACGCTGAAATGCGAAAAAATAAGGAAACTGCTTTTGGTGCTGGCGTTGCAGATGAAAATGTGCTGGTGTCGACACCAACTCGCCAACGGCGTTCACACAGTGGCACTCCAAAAATTGCGGGCACTGAGCAGCGCAACAGTACGCCACGTCGTATCTCGGTTGTGGTACGTGATCGCAAATCTCTCTCGGCTGCTGCAACGGTTATCAGTTTGCCGGCTGATAGCTCAGTAGGATCCGTGGTAGCGGGAAATAGACGTCACTCACGTTTCAGTGGCGAGTCACCAAAATCCCTTAAGGCATCTAGCAGTGAATTGCGTCGAAGTCTCAGCAACATGGAGAATGCATTTGGCGGCTGTAGTGATTTGCTACGTAGCACACTTGCTGCAAACGCACAAAAATTACGACGTCGTAGTGGCACACCGAATTTCGTCGAATCTGCCATCGAATTGGATGTTAAGCAACCACAAGTTTCGGAAAAAGTGCGCACTCCTTCACCAATACTAGCATCTGCACCAGCTGCGAACATGGCACGTAAGTCCATATTGAAGACTCCTGGTACTGCGAAGGGCAAACCGAAGAATGTGATTTTTAACGAAAAGCTGCGTGTTAAGAAATTCAAATTTACCATAGAGGATGATGAATTGAGCGATGATGAGGAGCAGCAAATGCAAACGAGTACGGAAGGTAGAAAAAAATTAAAAATGTGTAAATCATATAAATGTTTAAACAAAATAATATATTTCTAGAGCCCCTCTCAACTCCGCGCGCTTATTCCTTACGCACGCGCAAAGTAGTTCTTCGACCATCAAGCGAATTCGTAATACCATTTAAGCAGATTTAATAAGTAGCTATTTTATTAATTGCGATTTTTTGTAATGCATTATTTGTCAATTGTTTACATAATTGTAATTTCCTAAATCTTGTTTTGTGTCTTATCAATAAAAGTTTAAAATTAATCAAGCACTTTTGTTTTGTACATATGTAAGTACATTACAGGAAAAGCTTAGTGCCTGGATAAAAGATTGCCACGTTTTCTTCATAGTCACGGATAATGTTACTAGTTCCGAAACTCTTAAATTATTTTATTTTTATTGTTTATTGTTTATTTTTTAGTTTATGGACGAGTGTCTTTAAGCTTTCAAAGATCTTGATTGATATAGTATGACTGCATTATTAACTTAATTTGTACAACGGATGCCATCTGCGCGTATCTAATCCCATACGCATTGTCATAAGCGAGTGTGAAGGATTAGTTTCGTGCGAATGGCATTCTTCGGACTGGAATAGGCATGAAGCCGATCACTTGTTATAACAGTGCAAATCCGATTAGATCCGTGGATAGTATCATTTTAAAGATCTTGATTAGTTTACTTGCTGTCTCCACAGGCAAAAGTTTTTATATTATATTATTTTTTAAATTTTTTAAGTGATGAAATCCGGCAAAAATAGCCAACTTGCAAAATATTTCCCTTGATAAAATTTGTATCAGGCAATAAAAATGACAGTTGGTAGGCAAAAACTTTTGCCTGTTGAGACTGGCCGTTAGTGTGACCGCATTATTAACTCAATTTGTACTAAATTACCGATATCTATCCAAACCTGATAGCAATCGAAATTTCTTGTTTTAAAATATGTAACTGCATCTATAACTAAAAATTGTCAAAATGGCGCTTACGATAATCTTGTCCAGCCGGCGATATGTATGTACATAACCGCAGTACTGCATTTCCCTCATTCTTGGCATTTGGCAACTCTGCAGCGAACAGCTGGCGCCATTTATTTACTATCTTCTGATAAGCACCACAGTGGAAGTTTTAGTTTTGTTATCACGTTTCTTTTGGCTTTCTTATCTTTTACAGCGGTGTAGTGTTTTCAACAAAACCGATAAGAATTGTGTAGGCGGTAAGTTACAGTTAATTTTTTATATTTACTTTCATTGTCGTTTGTATGCATAGCGAAAGGGAAAGCTCAAAAGTCAGCAGTGTGCGATTTCGCAAGCTAATGTTCTCAAGCTCTAACCAAAATATCCTTTGCTTGACCGTCTTTTATTAGTGCAAATATATTCATAAAAACTGACAGAAGCAGACCACATTGGTAATCTACCAATCAGGAATGTTGCATATTTACTTTAATTAGTAATTTTCTTGATGCAATAGCATATAGGCCTATCATTAATTCCGTCGTAGATCCCGACGTTGTCACGTCGCTATCATGAATTCCGTCGAGATCACGAAATACTGCCGCAATTTCGAAATTCGTGAGCATGGTATCACTGATTTCGAGTTATTTTATTGTGATTTATTATGGCTGCATTTCTTTATTCATTCTGAACGTTTGGAATAAACTTTTTTGTTTACATATTCTTTAGAACGTTCCTGATGATTTGTTAACGTATATTTCAAACGCATTCTGTTTATTCCGGCTGTGAAATGGGATTATCCGGAATGTATAAAGAAACGCAGCCTTTATTTTGATTTAGAAAACCAAAGGCAGCACTAACTACGAATGCGTCGGAATTGCTGATAGCATTTCTCCCGAATTCGTGACGGGAGATTTTTTTCTCGACGGGGATCTGGGTCGTTCCGATGGTTACGTAGACCCGACAGTCGTGGTTGTTGTTGTTGTTTTTGTAGCGGCTACAACAACCCCGCCCAGATTGTTGTAGCAGCATACAAATTCCCCAAAAAGTCTTTGGGGAATTTGTATGCTGCTACAACAACAACAACAACAACAACCCCGCCCAGATCGGTTGATATCCCAATCGTTGTCGCCAAGTTCCACTAACGGCAGCCCTAGAGGAAGCGTGCAGCCTCTATCGGGTCGGTCCACAGGGACAAAGCCGTTAGGGTTGTCGGGTTTTCCGTGCATGCGAAGAGATGTTTCGAGTCATGTGGGGTCTATCCACATGCCGGACACTCATTTGGCACATCCTCATTCAATCTACTTAGGTATGAGTTTAACCTGCTGCAGTAGCCAGAGCGAAGTTGGGCTATGTTTGTTCGTGTCTCCCGAGGCAGATGAAGCTCCGTCTCGTCTATGTCCGGTGGTGGTGTGCCTAGAACGGTCTTCTTGATTAGTTCTGTAACCGCTTAAGCGATTCTCACCGCGTCCAATAAAGCACGCCGGTAGTTTCTTCTGTTCTGTGCCAACTGACGCTAAGGGATTCCAAAACAAATCATTAAGTCAAGTCCTTATTTCATTTTAATTTATTGCGAAAAAAACATTTGTACAATAAGATCTACGATCTTTTATANAAAGTGTGATAGGGCATTTTTGAATCGAATTCTGAAATAGGGCGTTCTTCAACAAAATTCTGAAATAGGGCGTAGTGAAAAGTTTTTTGAGATAGGGCGTTTTCGAACTGGCTGCCGAGATAGGTCGATCTTCCACTCAGCAGTCGATATGGTATCTGATATAGATCGACCACATCGTCACCCCGTGACTAACAAAATTTTTTATTGCATAAAACGATTGGGGCCTTATAATTCGATGAAATGCTTCATAATCAATCAAAAAGTGAATTTTGGAGTTTTAGTTAGTTACGGCTTTTTGTATTTCAGCGACGTTGTGAGGGCCCTTCTATATTAACGTAACGATATATGTATACATGTATACACGGCGAATGTAGACAAAATAATACACAAGAATACTGCGTGGCTATACATTATGGGAGTATGAATGAAAAAAAATTAGCCCACATCACAGCAGAGAAATTGTCGATAACGATAAACTGGTTTTACAGAAAGGTTAAACTCTTCTTAATGAATTAATTTGAATATGTGAAGATATAAATTAAGAAGCGTGGTTTATTGACCTGGTAGCTGCAAATGAAGCCTTAGAAATTTGTATTGAAAATTGTGTGCTATAAATAATGGAAAATTTTGTAGATCAGAACAGAATAAAATTTGTAACCATCCGGAAAACTTCAATTTTCATTTAAATAATTCGGAATTAATAAGTTACATAATCTGCCTTATCCTGAGTTTCGCCTGAAAGAAAATTCGCCCGAAAATTTGTCATCCGCCCATAGTAAAACCATGGAAACCAAAAGTGCACCGGTTCGGGCAAAATTTAACTCATGATAAGGCTGATTATAGTGAAATTAAAATTATTTTATTATCGGTTTACCGGTTACCGAATTATCGTGGTGGAAGCTTGATAATTTTTCTGGTAGTTGGTAAACTGCAATCAGCTGTTCGATGTTTATCCAATTTCAAATCCGCCCGCTGTCGTAAGGCATAAGTCATATGAGTAAGTAACATTCCATAAATTTTCTATTAAGATTTATTTATTTTATAGAAAAAAGCTACGAATCAGCTGTTGATAAACATAGTTTGCCAGACTAACAAAAGAAAGCTGAAAAGGACGTCCACAGTTGATAATATTACCGAGTACCAACAAGCCGTTTACTAAGTGCCAACTAGCAGGTGTGAAGACCCTTATTGTCTATTTCTCTTTTACCCCACGTCTCTTTTTTCTACCAAATATGTCTTAGCATCTGTCAAATATCTGTTTTGACATTGGGCGCGTCCATAAGTCGTAGTTGTTGGGTAACCGTTGGCTGTTTGTCTTAGAAACGCACAGTTGAGTAGTTACGCTCACTCCAACAGTTGGTAACTTTCCGCCATTTTTTCCAGCGGAAAATTTTTACGCTACCTGAACTCAACGTGTTGGGCTTAGCCTACACAGCTGATCGAAAAGACTTACGCCGCTTATATTAAATATAATAATATATATTTCGAGCAATTCACCTTTACGGTCTGTGATAAGGTTTCCCCATAATGCAGATTTCGCATTAAAATCTCCTGTAATTATTGAGTTTGTTTGCTGTCTATTCGCCCAGGTAAAAATGCTATCAATTCTTGAATTGAACTGATTATTATTTATTCTGGGTGTTATATATGTGGCGATTATGTTGTAGTTCTGTTTTAGATTTAAAGTGGTTATACCAATGGTTTCGTCAATATTGATCTGCAGTATGGAGAATTTGATGTTTTTCCGTATATAAATGCCTACCCCTCCGTAACCATCCGGTCTACATTTACAAACGAAATTGTAGTTGTTTATGCTTGTTCCAGAGTTGTTTTGTATCCATGTTTCACATATAGCTGCTATGTCTATTTTGTTGTTGTTTAAAAAGATTTCTAAGAGTTATCTTATGTTAAATCTGTTTATGTCGTTTTTTATTTTCTTTAAGAATTCTTGCAAATCTTTTGTAGATGTGGAAGCGGACCATGTGGCCATTTGGCGATTGATCTCACAGTTAAGGTTATTGATGAAATTTTCTTGTGTTGTTTTTTGTTGTTTGTTAGGAGATTGAATTGCGGTAATTCTTTGCTGAAGTGTAGAGGTACGAACTTTGTTTACGTGTGTATTATTGGATAGTAATTTAGAATATGGCATGTATCTATGCATAGATTTAGCTGCTTCGATATGGTTGTTCTGTATGTTGTTGTTATTGTTAGATGGTAAGGCTGGGAATTCTTTGTTTAGGTTTGTAATTTGTAATTCAGGTTTTTTGTTGAACAGGTGTGGATAACGTTCTTTAATTTCGAACTTGGTGAGATTTTCTGCTACCATTACTTTTTTAATAGCATACTCTTTCTCACTGTGAGGGCAGTTTTTCGCGGTGGCAACGTGGTCTAGGCCACAGTTCGAACATTTTATGAGTAGGCATTCAGGGTTGTTTTCGTGATTTGCGGCGCATTTATAGCAAGTTTGGGTTGCTTGCTTGCAGTGCATGGCAAAATGATTATATCTGTAACACTTGTAGCATTGGGGTACCATTATATGGGTCTTGACAGTAATTCTTGTTGATGCAAATGAAACGTATTTTGGCAAGTTCGTGCCCTTGAAAAATATTTTCACTCTTTCCATAGGAGTTTTGGTGTCTTTTGGACCCTTAAAAAGTCTTTGGATTTTAATGATTGGAATACCTGATTTTAGGTACTCAGAGAGTTCTTCATCTGACACGTCTATTGGAATATCATAAATGATACCTGCTTTTGATGTGAGATGGTTAAATATTTTTGGTTCATAGCCTTTTGCTTTGAAGCCTGAGTTAATTAATAATTTATTTGCAGTTTCAGCATTCTTTGTAGTGATTTTGCAGCGGCCAAATCCTACTTTTCTTACCTCAATGTCGTCAAATCCTAGCTTTGTACATAGTAATGCTACAGTTATATTACTGATTGGTTTTCTTTCAATGGTGTCGATGTAGACTATGAATGGTCCATTGTAGTCCTTTTCATAGGTCATAAGTTTTTCCGATGCGTTTTTGAGTTGCGGTTTTTCAATTGAATTAGTTTCGTTCTCTTCTGAATCTAAAGAAATGTCTGTGACCATGTTTTCAGTTTTCATTTTTCCCGCCTCCATTTTGGTATTTGCTTTTCTTTCGCGCTTTTTAAATTTTTTTCGCTCCTTTTTGGAGGAGCCGCCTCCCGTATCCAAATCCATGTTTGTTGCTACTTTTCTCTTTTGCGGATTGTTGGATTCCACCTTAGAGTATAAACTTTGTTTTTCCCTTATTTATTTAATATATTTTAAATAAAATTAAATCGAAATTTGTACAATAATTTTTAGAAGGTAGTTTCACTTCAAAATTTTTGACATAAACCGTTGGGGTGTTCACAGTTCGTTCCAAATAGTGTCTCAAAATGTAGACGTCTACATTTTAAGACGTTTTCTAACCGTAAAATCTGTGGTGTTGTTGTTTCCCATACAAAATTGGAAAACGACGCCGTCTACATTTTGTCACACTCAAAGGTATGTTTTTTACGCGTCTACATTTTGCAACCTCGCAGCAGGGTTGCAT